TTCCACTGTCATTATCAAAGCCATTCTTCACGAGGGTGTTTTCTGGCTCCTCTATCTCTGAATCCACACTGGCCACGGGACGGGATGTATTTGCACCCCAGAAGTGAAGGAAAGGCAGCCACTGTGGGGTGGGCTGGGTATGGGTGAGCTCAAATCCCCTCCTCCCCGCCACCCTGGCCCTCCACTCCAGCGTCGAGACCCGTTGGGGCTCGATTGATGGAGTGGTCAGTTCACTGCTAACCTGGAGGGGCCAAGCAGGTCCGCGTGGCTTTCCTTTCACGTCTGTCTGGCAGGGTCTTTGTTTCCCCTTAGATCATGACTTCAAGACCCCATGCGCAATGGACTCTGAGCGCATCACCCCCTTCCCTTCTCCCACGCCCCATCTGGGAGCCCCATCCTGAGTCCTGGATGCATTCGAAAATTGTGGACTGGCGAGTCCCTTCATCCATTAAACGCGGGGCGCTTCAGGCAGCGTTGGCCAGCGCTGACCCCTGCCCTGGGACTCGGACCCACCTTCCACCCCAGCGTCGAAGAATTCTGCTGTTCCCCAGAGCTGGGACCAGGATGCTTGGGAAGAGAGGGCTGTCAGGGTGGAGGTGGCGGCTTACCTCGGGTCCGCGGTCCTGCGGCACGAGGTGCAGAGGGCTCTCTTTGTGCCCCGGCTCACAGCGCAGAACTGGGGAGCCCCTGCAAGCACCTCCCATTGCAAACTCCTCCCCGCTCTCGTCCGCAGCCTCCCTCCCTCTGGTCCCCCGAGCGCAGCCGGCGTCGCCTTTGTAGCTGCTGCAGCGCCCATGAAATTTTAATGCGGGAGCGGCTGGCGGGCGGTGGCGCCCCACCCCTGGCCCTCGCCGCTGCCCTCCTCCCGCCTCCCCGCACCCCTGCAACCTCACACTCTACCCTTACCCGCTCCCCAGAGCCCCAGCCGGGGAGGCAGGGTGCAGCCTGGCGTTAGAAGGGAGCGCGACCCTGCCTTCTCCGCACAAAAGAGGCGAGCTGGTCGGTGTGCTCAGCCTCCTGCATCCCCTCCCGCGGCGCTGCCATGGCAACGCTTGCCGGCTGGACTTGGCGGTGGAAAGCTCAGAACCCGAGAAGCGCGTGCCGGTGGCACGCCGCCGCGGATCCGGGGAGCAGAAACCTGAACCCCGGCGTCAGAGGAGAAAGAGACTGACGGTGGCATTCTAAGTGCTTAACCTGCAGGGTCCCCGGAGTACACCTCTCAATTAACCCTGCTACGTGGTGCACAGTGACGGTGGAGTCAGGATTTGAACCCATGTCTGAAACTCCATGCCTCTACACCATTCGGCCTAATGACATTTATAGCTTTGGTCTTTTATTTATTTTAGTGCCTACTATTTTCTAGAGCAGAGGTGCCAGGGCTGGCAGCATCCCCATCAGATGGAAGCTTGTTTGAAATGTGATTTCGTAGTCTTGTTCCAGAAGTACTGAATCAAGACCTCTGGGGTGGAGTCCGGAGATCAATGTTTTAGCAAATCCACCAGAACTGGTACACATTCCAGCTGGAGAACCACTGTTCTAGAACGTTCCAGTGACATCTGGAACCAGACTGCCCTGGGTGTAAATGTCACTTCTGTTCACATGACTGACCAAATGTCACCTTACACATGTCACATGCTCTTCCTGAGACTCAGATTCCTAATCCATAAAGCAGAGGTAGTAATGGAATTCACCTTAAGTTGTATGGGTACATGCAGGAGGGGTGCCTCTAGTTCCTGGCACTCTGTAAAGGCTCAACTTTTTTTTGTTATTAGACTATGATAGGTCCATTAATTTTCACACATTTGTGTATATGGTTTATCTTCATTGCTTACACAGAGATGCAGAGAGGCGGTTTCCAGACACTGTAAGAGAACCGCATGGATTTGTTTGTTTGTTTTTTCCGTGTTATGTTCTTCCAATTCGATTTGATTTGATAATTTCATATTTACATTGAACTGTTTTACATCTTTACAGCATACAATATGGTTTTTCAAAGCATGCATGCTGTGTGTGATCATCAAATCAAAGATGTTACTATATACCTTGTTTTCAACAAAGAACCTTACCTTCTGGCTAGCCCCAGGTGGATCTGAGTCGACCCTTTCAGGTCCCAACTTGACTAGCTGTTCTCTATACTACACACCTCTTTCTGGGGACCCTCCCCCATATTCACAAAATACAATGAGGCCTGCGGATGGCGTAATGGTTGTGTCATTGGACTCTCATGTAGTCGACTGAGGTTCAAGTCCTGGACCCGATGGATTAAAACTCACACTAGGTGTGTGCACATGCATATCCAAGATCCTGAGAGGAGTATGGAGGAGAAGAGATTGTGGCATGGCCATCCCCCCTGGGGGCGGGTGGGTGATTTCTTGCTATCTGTCTCTCTGTCTCTCTTTGTCTCTCCATTGAGTGCACGTACCCTACAGCAAAAATCTCTCAAAAAAAAAAAAAAGAAAAGAAAAAAGAAAGAAAGAGAGGAAGAGAGAAAGAAAGGAAGGAAGGAAAGAAGAGAGAAAAAGAAAATGCAAGCCCATTTCAAGAAGCCTATAACACATTTTTTGGTTGGTTGTTTTTGTTGTTGTTGTTTGCATTGTATGACATGCATGCTTGCTAGAAAGAGACAGAGAGAGAAAGTGAGAAATCACCCCAAGTTGGGATGGCCACCCCAGTATCTCTTCTCCTCCATTCTCCTCTTGGGATTTTAGGCATGCATGCACATACACTCAGCATGTTTTTCAAGCCTCTGAGTCCAGAACTCCAACCATGGAGTCGCCATGTGGGATTGAGCATCTTCACCACACCACCTGCTGTTCCTCCTATAAGACATTTTTTAATGGTCCCTGCACAAGGACATTCCAGGAAGTTTGAAGGTCCTAAGGATGCCTCAGACATTGCCTGCACCCTAGCAGAACTAACGTTCCCTCCAACGGGTAAGAGCCACATGGAACAGTTAGAGAAAAGGCAAAATAGGTTGTGACCATGGCATTGCCCAGAGCACACAGTCAAGCTGTTGTCACCACTCAGATCTACGGCTTCCTCCTGGTTCGTCATCTAGTCTCCCAGGACTACAAGCAAAAAAGAAACTAAGTTTTGGCATGACACCTTCTAAATAAACATATGGAATACATAAGGAATCACCACTTTATTTTTAAATTATTCTTAGGCCACCTGTTTTTTTGTTTGTTTGTTTTTGTTTTTTTAGATAGCTTTTAGCTATAGGGTGCGTGCACTCGCCAGAAAGACAAAGACAGAGAGACAGAAAGTGAGAAATCACACCCTGGGGGGGATGGCCACGCTGCAATCTCTTCTCTTCCATTCTCCTCTCAGGATCTTGAGCACGCACGCACACGTGCCTGGCGTGAGTTTAAGCCACCGGGTCTGGAACTTGAACCACAGTAGACAACATGGGAGTCCAGCAATGTAGCCATTACACCACCTGCTCGTCCCAGGCTGCCTGTTTTATAATCTAGTCCCAAATTCTCCCATGGATCAGCCTATCATTCCCAATATCCATTTGGAAGAAAATAAAAAATCAAGCCATTTGCTGATTTCAAACTTAAAACACTTCTCCTATTTCCTGGGACTTCTTCGAGATGAGAAACAACATGCCCATGAGCCTATGAAAAAGAATGTGCCCATGAGCCTATTCCCAAGCATCCTGGGTTCTGGAGATATCTTTTCAAGCAGGGGGTCAAAAAGAGGTGACCCTTAGAAGGTACCGTGAGTGCATGGCAGATAGACCATGTCTAAAGCAGGTGGAATTGAGACGAGCCGTAAACTGAGTAATGCAAGGAGGAAACAGACCTCATGTCCAGGACACACACAGTCAGCCTGAGCCTGCCTGCCTGTTCCCTCTCTCCGGTTCTCTAACACGGTGCCTTTCTTTATCATGGGACAGACCAAACTAGCTTTTCAGGGGGGGACAATTAGTTGGTCCTTGGACCTTTTGTCCATCTGGTGAGTGCCTTTACGGTGAGCAAAACCTTCCCTAGCAGCCCCCATTCTTCTGGGGAGGGCTACAGTGAAGGAGAACGAGTCCTCCCCTTCATCTCCTTTAGGCTCTGGGCACTGCTGCATCCTCCTTGGGGATTCACGCCTAGTTGGATGGCTAGAGCTGGCGTCCTTCTCTTCTCTCCATCCATGTAACACGGACCCTTACCTTACCCTGTGGGTACGGACGGCATGGGGAAGAGCATGTCTCAAGATGGCAGCTGTTATCCTCACCACAATTCGAGAGCTCCAGTCTCCCAGGGGAGCTTGGAGGGGCTAGCAAAAAGGACATCAAGGAGACCCACCCATCTTCCTCCCTTCTGCCTCCCTTGAAAGTGACCTGCGCTATTTATGAGGGAGCGTGGTTGCCATGGCAACAAAGGAGGCCTCATTAGACACCTGAGAAGCTAGGCTTCAGAATAAACTTTGCTCCTTTGACCTGCACTGGTTACTCCCCTGATCCCACGAGGCACCATGGCTTCAGGGAGTCTTGGTGCTCATGAGACCACCTGAAGCCCAAGGTTCCTGGGGGAGTTCTGACACTGGCAACACGTCCAGGAAAGGGGGACCTGTGTGCCTCTTCTTTTTATCTCTGGGGTTTCCTAGGGAAACAACAGTAGCTCAGACGCCAAGGTTTTAGTTGCAATTCTGCGACCAGTCCTTGGGGGTAATAACTCTTTTCTTTTTTTAATTGAGGTGACATTTGCATTAATATAAAACTAAGCATTTTAAAGTGTGGCATTTAGGACATTCACCACGTTGTGCACCCACAAGCTCTATCGCATCCCACTAACTTTCATCACCCCAAAATAATACCCCACATCCTAAGCCTCCCCGTTTTCCCTTCCACTCTGTTGTATGGAATCTACAATTCATAGCCTTTTGTACTGGTTTCTTTTACTTACTATGCTTTATTAAAGCTTGTTCATTTCTTCCATGAGCGAGAGAGAGAGAAAGGACACTCCCAATAGGATCTTGGTGGTGGGATCCACTCCCAGACTGAGCCAGCTGCCGATTACGGTCAATGCCTGTGTCTGGTGTGCTCAGGTAAGTCACTGGACTCGAACTGGGAGCCTTTCACTACGGCACTGTCTCGCACGGTGCGCAGTGTTTCAGCGCTGTGCCAAACCATCTGGCCCCAGTGTGATGTATCTGAGGGGCTTCCACAGTGTTACACAGATCAGCACTTCATCCCTTGGTGACACAAACATCCCCTTGCATGGCTAGAACATAATTTGCTTTTTCTGTTACTCACTGATTGACATGTGAGGAGCTTCCACCCTTTGGCTATTGTGACTACTGCTGCTATAAATATGGACATGCAAGGACTTTTAAAAAATGATTTATTTCATTGTAGTTATGACCACTTTTTATTTTGCTGTAGGGCATGTGTGCTCACCAGAGAGAGACAGAGAGAAAGAGGGAAAGTGAGAAAGCAAGCTGCCAGGCCTGGGACTTGAACCATGGTCAGCCATGTAGGAGTCCAGCACCTTTTAAAATATGTATGTATGTATCTATGCATGTATTTTGAGAGAGAGATTTTTTGCTATAGGGCCATGTGTTTGCCGGAGAGACTGAGAGATAGAAATAGAAAAATTGAGCCCCCCACTGCCAGGAGATGGCCATGCCATAATCCCTTCTCCTCCATTCTCCTCTTGGGATCTTGGGCACAGTATGAGTTTTA